AAATACATCTTTCGTTATCTTAAGGGTATGATGGACATGGGATTATTTTGTTCGAATGCATCCAAGACTGATCTTGTTGGCTATGCAGATGTGGATTTCAGTCTGACCCACATGTCGGTAAATCACAAACTGGTTATCTATTCACATGTGCGGTACAGCCATTTCATGGCGATCTATAAAACAAACTATATCAGCCACATCATCTAACCATGCAGAGATTCTAACAATGCATGAAGCAAGTCGGAATGTGTATGGTTAAGGTCCTTAATACATCACATACGAACTACTTATGGCTTGTCTTCTGGTAAAATGATCCCAACAACACTATGCAAAGATAATACTGCATGTATTATCCAACTAAAAGAAGGGTACATCAAAGGAGATAGAACAAAGCATATCTCCCCAAAATTCTTCTTCACTCGTGACCTTCAAAAGGATGGTGAAATCAATATCCAGCAAATTCGTTATATTGAAAATTTAGCAGACTTATTCACCAAATCACTTCCAGCCACCACGTTCGAGAGACTTGTTCATGACATTGGGCTTCGCAGTCTTAGAGATGTCAATTGACATCGTCAAGAGGGGGAGTAAATGTATGTTGTACTCTTTTTTCCTTGTCTATGGTTTTCCCATTGGGTTTCCTAGCGAGGTTTTAACGAGGCAGCACTATGAAATATATATCAATAAATGTTGCACTCTTTTTCTTCTACTAGGTTTTGTCCCACAGGGTTTTCTTTGCAGAAGTTTTTTAATGATGCACATATTTAGTTATGGACATCCAAGGGGGAGTGTTATGAATATAATATCTTTATGGATGTCCATGTATCTATCATTATCTCTCTTATTTCCCAGTATCCTCAATATTTCCCATTATCCCCATTATCTTTTATTATTATATCTGTAGATTCTGTCAAAGATGTAAAGTTATGTCTATAAATAGAAACCATGTATAATGTATTCAGCACCCTTGAATGGAATGAGAAATACTCTTTCTTATTGATATTCTTTTCTTCTCTATTCTTCTTCTTTATTTATAACAAAATTTATTTGTTTATATTTTTATAATATTGTATCAGATATTATATCTGAACTATACATTTTCCATCTAAGGATGGAGAAAGGATTTTGAATATCTACTCCTTCCATTTTTTTCTTTGTTCTATTTGTTCCCTATAAATTAATAAGTATATAAGTTGATTTTTCAAAATGAATATTTTTTATCCCCTTAATTAAATTTAGAGGGAAAAATGAATGGAGTGGATATTGAAGGAATAGAGTTATGGATTTGGATACTCTAAGAATCTCTTCTTCACCATTAAATGAAAAATAAATGGTTCAGATATAATATTTATATAATATTATTAAAATGTAAATAAATAAATTTAAACTATTACGATTTATTTTGGGCAATTTATACCTATAGTCCCAAAAAAATTAGTTTATAAAATATTTTAATAATAATTTTATAAAATATTAAATCAAACTATTTATTATTTAAATGTAGAGGTTTTTGGGGGGGGGTTGGAAGGAACGGGGAAGAAAAGGTGAGAGAGGATGCTGAGGGAATTCAATGTCTACGGGGCCGCAGTCAAAAGGAAAGAGTACAAATGGCTTAGTAATTGGGTAATGGGGTCTTTTTAATTGTAGTTTTCACTGAAGGAAACAGAAGAAATGGGGTCTAGTGCTGAACGATTTCATTCTTTTTGTCTACAATACAAAAAAAACGTCAGAGGTGAAAGTTGTTCAACGAGTGCTTCACAAATTCTTGTGTGAATTATTTGTAATATAGTATTTGGGTGTAATTCTTTTAACATGTAGTATTTTGGGATTTTTTTTTACCGTTTGTAGTATTTTACTAATAAATTAAAAAGAATTGGACAGGAAGAAAATACATTCCAGGTTGACCGAATTGATAACTATTTGTCTATATTCCTTACGGTCTATTCATAGTTCAAGCAAAATTTTGCATTCAAAGAAAGCATGATCACACAAATCATATGCTTTAAGAGCTAAATCCATTTCATAGAACATATTAAAACAGAATAATAGAACGGTGGCCATGAAGCTGTTGGGCACAAATTTGCATAGTTTTGACGATGAAGCTTTTGGAGTCAGCTCAAGCCTATTCTTAACGTGTTCAAAACCGCGCTGCTCTCTGACACTCTGCAAACTTATTTATTCTCGAGGAACATAATTAAACAGCAACATCTCAGCACATTTTAAACATTTGATTTTTTTTTTTAATAGGAAGTAGAAAATTTGTTGAGGCCAGCATCCAATGGCATCGAAAGTAAAGGTGATTTTGGTGGAATATGAAAAACCAATAAAGGAGATTATTCTTCAAGTCTCAACACTGAATCAATACAGACATGGAAGTTATGAAAATCTTGTTTGATGATAATCAGAGTTAAGTTGATACTTGTGATCTTATGATTAGCTGTTACAAATTTTAACATGGGACTTAAAAAATACAGTGTATTTTGAAGTCTCAATTTGAGGGCTTTAACAGGCTAAACAGTGTACATACGGACTCTAAGTTAGAAAAATTTTAATACTACCTTATTGGGATATATGATTATAGTTAGTTTTCCTTTGTGTTTTAGATATTGAACAGGTTCGCATGCAAGAGCCTGATTTAGCTTAGAACCTATATCAGATTAAATGGATGAAGTTTTTTTTTTCACACTTTTACTCTGTTGTTTATTGGGTGTTTGTTGTTCATCAGGTTGTTTTCTGCAGTGGTATTGGGCAGGAGTTATGTATAGTAGCTAGGCAGGCATATTTTCTATCCTAAGTTATTTTTTTTACTTAATCAGCCTAATAATCACAAATTTATTAGAAACATTTTGTGCAAAATAATAAGAGTTTTGAAACCTCTACTTCTTGCTTTGACTTTGCAAAATGATTATATTCTGTGAACTTGAGAGATTTAAGCATCCATATTGAAGGAATGTAAAATTCATTGATGGATTATTCCCTTGATACACAGTAATGTTTTGCAATCGAATCATGATTGGACTTGGACTAGGGGAAAATAGTAATTAAGACCTTGATCATCTCGTACTTGCATTTTTCTTTGAAAGAAATTGTAAAATCAAAATGAAGGGAGAATTACAATAAGATCTCAAAGAAAAAAATAATTACCAGTAAATCCTAATGACAAGTGAATAGTAGTCATTTACTATCTTAGAGCTTGTCATTACAAGGCTGCTCATGTTGTCAATGAGACTTTTTAGTGATTATATTCTTTGCTTGAGACTCATAATAATTCTCCCTAAAAGGAAAATAAAAAAAGACAAGGGATTCTTAACACAGCATTTGAAGGAGGGTCACATTCACACGCTATGCAACAATAAATTCTTACTGGAAGAAATTCTTCCCTGTTTTAATCAGTACTCCCTTGTGTTCTTATTATAACATTTAAATAATTAATTTTCATGTATCAAAAAATTAATTAAAAGTAACAAATAGCTAAAAAATATATTTTTGTTTGCTCTTATAATAAAGGAGAAAAAAAGATGAAAGAGAATATATGAAAAAATATCATAAAGAGGGAGTGACAAAGGAGGAGAATAAATTCATTAAAGGCAAAATGGAAAAAATGTATTAAATGGAGAAAAAGTTTTGCCTTCCTTCTTCGGACAGCCAAATCCAATTCATTTATCATATTTCAAACATCAATACTTACAGAAACAATTAAAGAAGAAGAAAAAGAGGGCTCACCTACGAACAAAACAGAGATGCGGCGGAACAGAGGAAAGCGCACAGAGCAATGCCAAATTCAAACGAATCACTAAGAAGCAGCAAGGAAAGAAGAAACAAGAGGCGAACTGCTCACCTCACACCATCAAGGTGACGGACGGCAATGGCAGGAGGAGAAAAATGACGATGATTTCTCAAGAATAGTAAGCAAAGAAGAGGCCGACGGCTGGAAGGAGAACGGCGCAACCACCGCGGCAGTGAATATAAGGAGGATGGAGGTTGACAGGAACTGCGGCTGAGATCCCCTTTTTCTAATTCTCCATAGGTTGCTTCTCTCTTTTTCTCCACTCCCTTTAGCGTAACAAGCCGAGAAAAATATCATGAAAACATATATATACACGCACAAAAGGACTATGGTGATTGCAAAGTGTGTGTGTGTAAAGAATTAAAATGATAAAAGTTTGTCTCATACATCGGTAGGATTCACAACAAACAATAAACAATGTTTGTCCTAGACTACCAATCGATCTTATTAAAAATTTACAACACATGATCAAAATATTAAATAATTAATACCTCCGATTTTTAATATGAGAGCTAGATAACTAATTTGAAGAGATTAAAAAAAATTAATTAAGTTGTTAATTGTAAGAAACATGTGCTGACTTTCCTAAATTATTCTTTTTAATCATGTTCACTGGAACTATCATTTGATAGAAACGACGCCTTATGATCAATAAGGATCTTTTAGAACAAAAATAATAAATTTGAGAACAAAGTAATTGAGGTCTTACATTTAGGACCAAATTCTAACTCTTATATTAAAACCAGAGGCAGTATTTTACATTACTTTTAAGGCCATTACAGGATTTTTGCCATCTTTGAACATTTCTACACAACACAGGCCATTCGCACTTGCTTACAACAAAACAAGAACAGTGAATATGCATAATAGATAGTTGACCTACGGCCATTGGATCGTATATATATTAATACTTCCTCCTGAATCCTTTTCTATAGTCCTTAATACATAAAAATGACGTAACAACCTTCTTCATAGATTATATTAAATTAATGTATCAGGAAAATTTTAAATATCCATCAAGCATGCATTAATATAAAATATAAATTTTAATCTAAAACCAGAAGGCTTGATCTACGTACCTTGGAAGTATAGACTCATCTTCTTCAACAACGAACTGATCATGATGTTTGAGCATTGATAACTCTCAATTCTCAAGTCGTGTATTCATTTCTCAACGTCAGGTTGTTTAACATCAGTGGCCTGAATATTTTCATCATTGTCTGGGGCCCAGTATTTGCAGACCCATTGCCCCATTAAGTGCTCTTTTAGCAAGTAATTCAGCAATGCCATTGCCGTCTCTGTGAAAGACCTGGATATCCACAAACCAATCCCACTCTAACATCCCTTTGATTTCCATGATGAGAGCAATATCCTTGTGCGTCTCAGGGACTTCAAATTTGATCAATCGAACAGCCTCAGCGGAGTCGCTTCTCAAGATAACATCTCCAGTACCAGCGTCCCAAGCGCTTTTGAGACCCATCAAGCAACCCCATAGTTTGGCTGTGAGGATATCTCCGCCACTTAATTTCAGAAGAAAAGCCTCCTTCATACAATTGTTGCCATCTTTAAGAACGCCTCCACAAGCTGCTTTGTCATCTAAATGAGAATAGGCGCCATCCACTTCTACAACAGTATCATCAGGTCTCGGCCGGGGACTATAACCTCCACTGTTGATGTCTGGATCAATCTTCACGTAGTTATTGATGATACTACAACCTTCGTCCCCTGTTCTTCGCCATGCTTCAACATCTTCTTTACACACCGCTCGCCACCCACACTTGCTTATTTTCATCCTTGGTGACTTGTTTCCATTGCATTCTTAGAGAAAAATACCATTTGAAGTCCATTGACAACCAAAGAGGAATAAGGAATATATTTTATATAAAGCAGAGGACTCATAGCCGGATGTAGAAAACTATGCCCACAATACGAGTTTGGAAATTCATCATTAGGAAATCTGCAACTCCAACAAATTCCATCCCACCCCTCTCCAAATGTGAGATCGCGTTCTATGACTAAGCATATGGCTATGCCCCACCATTCACGTGAACCACAATAATCAGGGGATATATTTATTATGAACGACACATTATTTGGACACCACCAGAATTCTTTCTCGCAAAAGTAGTTTTGATTATAAAACCATGATGGTACTCTGCTGCCTGGAATTGTTAATGAGTGCCAACGTGGACGGAGGGAAAAAAACTGGGGCAAAAAAAAGCAAAAAAAAAAAAAAACATACGTACAAGTAAAATAAACTATATTTTATTGTCAAAGAAATTAAGAAAAAAATAGGTGATTCTAAAAACTCACAATTTCTGAATCCCCTCTTATAATTGCTGACTTCATATTTAAATGGTTGTGAACCTATAAGAAACAATTTTGCGTGTTAAAGAAGTAAATGATTGAGGTGAAAGAACAATTAAACAAATAAAATAAACCTGAGGTTGAAATGATTCAATGAAATCCCATAATTGATCTGCACATCCGTATTGTTTCATTAATGAAGAACTTTCAGCCCATATATATGATAGATTTGACGGAAGTTGCGGCAAAGACCGAAGCCTTGGGCACCTCCAGAGACCAATACCCTTAAGCTTCGAAAGATTGGAAATGAGGCCAGATGGTAAGTCAATGAAATTGTTTCCACTTAGATCTAAAATTTCCAATGATGATAACATGCTGATGTCATCGGGAAGTGATGCATCATGGAGATTGCAGTTTACTAAACGTAAATGTGTCAATGATGACAAAGACGGCAACAGCATAAAATTTGTTGAGCTTGATGGCCTTTGAAGAAGGGAGAAGCAACTCCATGATGATGAAAATTGTGCTTCATCATTGCAGTCACTAAATGATAACCCTTTTATAGCAATCCCACTCAAATCCAGCTCTTCCAAAGCTTCATTTTCATTCAAATTCTCTGGCAGCCTTGAAAACTTTGAGCATTCAGAAATTTTTATAACTTTGAGAGCTTTCAACTTATTAACACTACATGGAAGACAGACCAGCTTTTTGCAGTTCCTCAAATTTAATTCAATGAGGCCAATCAAATTGCCCAGTGATTGAGGTAGTTTGGCTATACCAGTCTTCTCTAAATCAAGCTTCGATAGATGGGTCATATCTTTTCCAAACTCAGGAAGTTTTCTAACTTTTGAACAACCCGATAGAATAAAAGTCTCCAAGCCATTGATCTCAAATTTTTTTGGAAGGGTTTTAACTTCTTTGCAATCTTTCAAGTCAACAATGACAAGTTTCTTGTGTTGCCCAAGAGACTGGTGAATTTTAACCAAGTTAGAACACCCTTCAAGAATCAACTTTTCAAGATGAGGAATTCCATCAAAATTTGGGGTTTTGATGAGGTATTTTGAATGAGATAGATCAAGAGACTTTAGGCTTGGGAGAGGCTAACAATAGAAAAATAGGAAACAATAAGCCCTCAAAACCAAACACTAATTATAATTATAATTTATTAAATTATGGACAAAGAATTTAAATGAAAGGATCGTAATACCTGTGTTCCTCTCCAAAGTTTTTTTTAATTTGCTATGTTGCATTTTAGTACTACAAGTTCATGGAGTTGAGGCTGACTAGGCAAATAAAATAATGGATACCCCACCCATTCTATGACTTTCAACTCGCTGGAAAGGGTCTTGAGCCCATGCGGAAGATTTAATTGGCAATGTGAAACATGTGAGCGACTTGAAATGATAAGTAACCTGAGATTACTCATCTTTGAGAAGGCTTCAGGATCCCAAATGCATCACATGACTTTTCCAATGTTAGGGCCATTCCTCGAGTTGCTTCTGTCCCCTATAAAACAACAAGCCAAGGTAAATGTTGTGGAATATATTATATTAAAAAAGCACATAAACAAAAGAACGGTTGAATAATGTCACCTTATTTCTTTTTAGTACATGATTGGCATCCTCCAAAGACAATCCTTGAACGCTTGCCGGCGTCATAAGGTGATTCTTGATAAACAATATATTTTCCCATATCTTGGAGAATTTCATGCACCCACAAATGCCCTTCATAATTAGTTATTAGTGATCTCTTAATGAGAACATTTATCCCAGTTTCTGGGTGAAGATCCTTCTCCAAAGTTTCTAAAATTTGTATGACATGATCTTTGTCCATCCCATTGAAAAAGCAAGCAATATCCAAGAATATGGTTTTTTCCTGATCATCCAGTCCATCAAAACTCACTTGAAGTATCTTCAAAATGTCCTTTGGAGGAACTTTCTTGAACTTAGCTAGTTCATCTTTCCATTCCACTATAGTTCTTTTGCAAAGAGATGAACCTAACACTGTGAGCACTAAAGGAAGGCCTCCAGCATACTTAATGACAGTTCTAGCAAGTTTCAAATAATCTTCATTAGGATGCTCTTCTTTAAAAGCTTTTTCAAGGAAAAGTTCAAGGGACTCGTTATCACTCAATAATTTGAATTCATACACAGCAGATACACCATGTGATGATAACAAATGCCTGTCCCTAGTTGTTATTATTATTATGCTCCCTTCACTGAACCATCCTTGCTTTGGAGCCAAATTTTCAAGTTGCCTAATATCACTCACATCATCAAGGACAAGTAGAATTTTTTTGTCAGTCAACTTTCTCTTTATTAACCCCATTCCTTCATAAAAATCAGCCACTTCCATACTCTTTTTTTCTAGAGAAGAAAGAAGTTTTCTTGGCAATGAAATCAAACTTCTTTTTCCCATGCCTCTCTAATATTATCAGGAAGCAGTGAATCTCAAAGTTTTTGCGCTCTTGCTTCCGCTCATAAAAGGCTCTAGCAAGAGTTGTTTTGCCTACGCCTCCTGTGCCCCATATTCCTATAAACCCAATTCCTTTTGATTCCCTTGCTACAATTGACTTCAATTCATCTAATTTTGGTTCAATTCCAATTAACTTGCCATGACCAGATGCTGATTTATCAAGTAACTTTGACCCCATTTCTTCAGCAATGCTTTCAATGAATTCTGTTTCATACCTGCATATGAAAATAAAATTGTAAAATGATTTTTTTTGGACATGAAAATAGCGTGACGGTTTAAGTCAATTGAATTTTGAAGTTTTTGCATAAACAATAAAAGACACTTGATGTGAGATGTAAAGAAAACATGACCACAATTGTAGCAATCTTAAGTTTTCCGTGAACGTTAGTTTAACTTAATGGGGCAGGAGATAATTATTTGCAGACATACACGGTTATGTGTGTGTGTCCACACACTTTACTATAACTCCTAGATATTGAAGTCACTTAATCAACACATTATAAATTATTAATATTAATTTTTTAATTGTTGAATTACATAATTATTATTATGTAATTTTACTAATACATATTCAGAAAAATGACCATTTCAGAATTCTATCATTAATTGAATTCAATTGGAAAACAGAGATCATCTACAACCTAGTGCTACTAGTCTATTTTAGCAACAAAGAAAAATACAAGTCTATAATGAAATAACATGGGTGAAATATTAAGGAAAAAAATAATCTAGCAGTCCTCGTAGTTTTATTTGATATTGAATCAAGTCTTTTTATTTTTTTGTTTCTTCTTTTTATGAATTTTTTATATTTATTACATTAAATGAACAATTCCTTCTGTTAAAAATACCCCCAACACGGTTAATGATGTGGTGACATAGCATTAAAAGGCTACATGGACTTGCTTTCTCTTCTTCCTAGTAAAAGCCTGCGGCTCTCTCTCTCTCTCTCTCTCTCTCATCCCTTAAGGGCCAACCACGCCAGTCTCATGCCAAAAGGTTTAAATTGTATTCACTTTTCCATAAGCCGCTGGAGATATACTATTCCGTCTTTTATTATAAGATATTTTTAACTAAATTATGTAATTTAAAAAATAATTAAAATTAGTTAAAAGCAATTAATATTTAACAAATGCAGTTTTTTTCTAAATATACCCCTATATATAAATAGAAAAATATGAAAGAATAATAATGAGATAAATAAAAAAGAGAATGTATTAAATACACTAAATTAGAAATAAAATAGATAATGCTGCATTAAATGTTCAGACAAACTCAAAGAGTATCTTATAAAAAAAACCCATTTAAAAAATTAGATCTTATAATAAAAAACAGAGGAAGTATATGTAAACAAATTCATATATTAAATATGCAGATGTTTTCAACTTTTTAAATGAGCTGACTTCAAATGTGTGAATATAGTTTAAGGAGGAGCTTTTCTTCTTCTTATCGACTGGTGTGTTTGGCCCTTGATTAATGAGAGAAAGAGAGCCACGATCTTTTACGTGGAAGAAAGAGAAAGAAAAGCTCATGATTGGCCTTGGAAAGAAAGAGAAAGCAAGCCTTTTTAATGCCATGTCACGTAGCATTAATAGCGTTGAGAGTATTTTTTACGGAAAGAGTTGCTCATTTAATATACAAATTATAAAAATTTCATAAACGAAAAAAAAACTAGAGAACCTAACTCAAAATCAGAACAAACTTTAAGAACTACTACATTAATTTTTCTAATTACTCCCTCCGTTTCTTATTATACGAATGAATAACTGAATTATGTTGTTTAAAAAACAGTTAAAATTAGTTAAAACAATCAATATGTAAAAATATAATTTTTTTCCAAAAATACCTTCATTAATAGGAGAGAGACATGATCAGAAACATGGTAAATATATTAAAAGAAAGAGGAAGTGGAAATGAGAGAGAGTGAGTTGAAGACAATAAATATGGGTAAAATAGGAAATCATATAAAAAGTAGAGACAACTTTTAAGTGTCTCTTATATAGAAACATGTCATAAGTATCAAATGTCTCTTATAATAAAGAATGGAGGAGTACTAATCATTCCTTCTACTTTATCTCAATTACAAAAATATTGCATATCTTTTAAAAACATACCTAAGCCTCGCTTCAAATTGCAATGTATTTTACACAACCCTCTCTTATATATTTGAGATTTTATTTTTCATCTATCTAAATTTAACTTTTAAGCCTTTGCTTTGACCAAAATACTTTTATTTAGCATAAAATTATTTAAATATTTATATTTGTCAAAAACATAATTTTTTATAATAGGAAATAATTCTACTGCATATGTTTTCAAACATTCTAATATGTTATCAGATTAATTAATTATTAATTTTGATTATATAATGAAATTGTATAATTTTATTTTTTTCATTGCATGTATTGATATACATTTATTTAGATTTCTTTTACATGTCTAAGATCATATTTAAAAAGCTTATTTTATTCATAATACATATAATAAATAATTGAATTAAGATGATTATAGATATAATTAACTAAATTAAATTGTAATTTAAAATTTTTAAACTATTTTTTAAAAAGAAATACTTGAAAACTCGTCTCTTCCTTTAACTGCAGGATCTTTTGAAGCTCATCCAAACACCAAGTTGAAGAAGCATAATTTGGGGAGAGCACAACAATTGCAGAACGAGACTCTTCAATTGCTTGTACTAAACTTGGATTAATAGATTCTCCCCTTTCAAGTTCTTCTTCATCCCTGAAAGTTTTTAATCCTTTGCGTTTTAAAGCGGCATACAAATGATCAGAAAAATTTTCCGTGTATCTTCCCCTCGAAAGCTCAAAACACATGATACTTCCTTCTCTTAGTTGAACCAGAAGAACTTGAAGAGCACCCAACTCCATCAGCATCACGCGCATTGCAACGCAAGGATTAGGAATCTGAACCCAAGTACAAAAGTAAAAACATAAAAATAGAAAGAATAATGCATATATAATAGGACCTTCAAGAAACAGGGCAGCAACCAGCAAGGGGGATACTGAAGACGGAAGAAATTGGACCAATTTTTGACGATTCGATCAGGCTAAATATATGAGAGGCGTGATTTGATCCAGCCTACTATGAATCTGGCAAAACTTTGAGGCAGAACATAAATCTAGTTCGCAGATTCAAAAGTTCATGAAAATTTCAAAGATAGTCTAAAAGAATTGGCAAGGAAGAAAATAGATCCCAGGTTAATTGAATTGATAACTAACGAGCTAGGGGTTGACCTGCTCAGCTGTGCCCCCATTGTCCCTTAATTTTGGGTGCCCTTTCCAATTTCTTTCAGTATTTCAAAAATCGTATAAAATTGAAAAATGAATAAGTTTTGGCCCGTAAGATATCAAAATATCGTTCATTTTATACAAAATCTAATAACAAAAAAAAAACTAAAAAGAAACATTTAGAAAGGACCCCAAAATTAAGGCGTGGCTGGGAGTGTAGCCGGGAGAGCTGACGCACAGCTCATGGTCTATTTATAGTTCAAAGCAAACGTTTTGTATTCAAAGAAAGCATAATCACAAAATTAATGCTTGAAGGCTAAATCCATTTCACAGAAGGAAAAAAAAAAACCAAATAATAGAAACTAATCTTAAACTGACAGTGGTAGCCATGACAGAAAATAGATATATAACTTAATTAGAAAGGAAGAAAACAGGAACCTGATGGATGAAATAAGTGAAAGATTTCTTTGATCTGCGACCTGATCGGAAGAAGATGAAACCCAGTTATGCACAGATTTGCATTTTTGAGGATGAAGCTTTTGGAGTCAGCTCAAGTCTTCTCTTTTATTTAACAAGCTTTTACAAATGTTCTTTTCAAACCGCGTGGCTGTCTTCCACTTTGCCAGAATTTTTTATTATTGATCAGCTGACGAATGTTCTTTGAAATTGGGACATAGAAAAAAAAAATCCTAATTAAATCCTGCTGAAATATTTAAATTAAATTGAGGCTTATACTTTAACAAATTCTTAATTAGGACATAAGACCTAATTAGGAATTGCTGAATATTGTTAATTTATACAAAATCTAATAACAAAAAAAAAAACTAAAAAAAACAACATTTAGAAAGGACCCCAAAATAAGGCGTGGCTGGGAGTGTAGCCGGGAGAGCTGACGCACAGTGGTTAACTATGTTTATATTTCTTACGGCTCATGGTCTATTTATAGTTCAAAGCAAAATTTTTGTATTCAAAGAAAGCATAATCACAAAATTAATGCTTGAAGGCTAAATCCATTCACAGAAGGAAAAAAAAGAAAAAACCAAAATAATAGAAACTAATCTTAAGCTGACGTGGTAGCCATGACAGAAAATAGATATATACTTAATTAGAAAGGAAGAAACAGGAACCTGATGGATGAAATAAGTGAAAGATTTCTTTGATCTGCGACCTGATCGGAAGAAGATGAAACCCCGTTATGCACAGATTTGCATTTTGAGGATGAAGCTTTTCAAGTCAACTCAAGGCTTCTCTTTAATTTAACAAGCTTTACAAATGTTCTTTTCAAACCAAACGCGTGCTGTCTTCCACTTTGCAAGAATTTTTTATTATTGATCAGCTGACGAATGTTCTTTGAAATTGGGACATAGAAAAAACTCTTTGAAGCCCCGATTTGAGGGCTTTAACAAACTAAAGTGACTCTAGGATTAGAAAAAGTTTAATACTTTATTAGGATGATTGTGGTTTGTTATTCTTTATACCATTTAACTAATTTGATTAGATTAAAGAAGTTAAGTAAATTAGTTAACTATAAAAAAATAACACATTTTTTCTAAAACACTATAATCATCTTTCTTAATACTCCCTCTCCCTCTTCTACTTGATTATGGT